CTAATGGTACAAACAGTGATCGGCTTGGCTGTATCTCTCCCCTCGTTCTAAACTGCCTGTACAGCCAACACGCAGATCCGCTGTGTCTCTTGACCCACAGTTCCGCAGTCTGTACATGGACTAAGAAAAGAGGCAGATGATCAAAGACAGAGCATGAGAGAAATGGAATCATTCCTGCAGGAACAGAGGAAGTTGAAACACCACAAGCTTCAGGGTCAGCTGATGACACCTTGTCACAACTTGTGGAAATTATAGCTCAAATAAAGGCAACATTTATTTTGTTGTATGTATTTTCCTGTATGTTACATTTATGCTCAACAGATCTTAAGCTTCATTTTATTTAGTTTTTTTGGGAACTGCACCTGCACTTTAGTTTTTGTAGTAGATTTTGTCGATCTATATTTTGTGCAGACTTTTTAAACACGAGTATCATTTTTATTTTTTATTTTTATACTTTGAGACTGAATACTTTACTAAATAAAGTAATTGCAGTAAAATGTTGTTTTTTTGTTTTTATATAATACTACAAAGCAAAATTTTAAGTTAATTTTGTCAAACGAATAACTATGATTTCTGTTTTTTATTTTGTTATATCACAAAATTTATCGTTATTGTCAGAATGCTCTGAAATATCACAATATTATATTTGAGCCATATCGCCCACCGCTAGTCTTGACCCTGCTCAGACTAGCTGTTATATCTGGTAAAGTTGTTCAGAACTAATCACTATTTCAACAAACAGTGTCCATTCAAAGGTAAAATATTGATTGTTCCTTACCATTTCACAGAACCCAATTTCAAAAGAACTGAACTATTCTTTTAGACTGCCGGTACCTCTATTGGTCGTCGTTCCTGTTTGACCTTCTATCAGCGTCCTTGTCAACCCAGACTTTGGGCTTTTCTCTGATCTATTCAGAACTGTGTTTCAGAAAAGGCGTTGTTCAGTTTTTTTTAGACAAGATAAGCAGCTGAAAGCCGACATACCTTTGAACGTGTGTTGGCCTGCCTCCCCAGCCACTCATTAGTCTGGTGTCTGAAGGCTGGTGTTTCCTGAAGCTGCTGAGAAACACGAGCGTTTTTAAAGGTTGAAAAGCCCCCGACAGAGACGTAATTTCCTTATCCGAAGGTGATGTGAGAAGGTAACTTATTTAGCTACTTCCTGCTGCACAGATTAATTTGATTATAGTAACCAAGTCTCAGTGATGAATGTGGTGCAGAGTAAAATAATGTAGCACCTTTGTTGACAACATCCCGTTGTGGATTATATGTGTTTGGTGAATGCGGTGAGAGGCGGGACAAAGAAGGGTCGGCTGGCACACCTGAAACATTTGGTTGCTCTGTTATTTTCAAAATGACTCATTTTCAGATAATGAGCAGGAATCAGTTTAAAATCCTCTGGGTGTGCATATAACTGATATATAGGGAGGCCCAGCCATCTCTTTCCACAGCCACCTTTTCCAGCTCTTCTGGGAGGACTCCAAGGCATTCCAAGGCCAACAGTGACGTAGTCTCACCAGCATGTCCTGGGTCTTCCCCGGGGTCTCCTCTCAATCGGACATGCCTGATACAACTCCCTAGGGAGGCGCCCAGGGAGCATCTTTACCAGATGCCTGAACCGCCTCAACTGGCTCCTCTCGATGTGGAGGAGCAGCGGTTCTACTCCGAGTCTTTTTTGGATAACTGAACTTCTCATCCTGTCTCTAAGGGAGAGTCCATCTACCCTGCTGAGGAAACTCATTTCAACCTCTTGTATCCACAATCTCATTCTTACGGTCACTACCCAAAGTTTGTGGCCGTAGATGAGGGTAAGAATGTAGACCTACCGACAACAGAGAGCTTGGCCTTACAGCCCAGCTCTCTTCACCACAACGGTACAGAGTCTGTAATCCTGCAGACACTGCACCAATCTGTTTGTCAATCTCACGCTCCATTCTTTCCTCACTCTTGAACCAAACCCCGAGATACTTGAACTCCTCCATCTGAGGCAAAACCTGACCCTCGACCCGAAGAGAACAATTTACCCTTTTCCGACTGCGGACCATGACCTCAGATTTGGAGGTGGAGTTAGGGAGGCTGTCAACCTGAAGGAGTCCTTTTTTCATTCATTCAACCTTTGTTTATACAGATAAATCACATTGAACCTCAAAGACTCATTTACAAGTGAAACCTGTTTGGACAGACAAACAAGTGATGAAAATTACAACATTTGGAGGCAAAAAAAAATCCTAACAGATTCTCATTCCTTGGCCGAGGAAAGGCTGCCTGAAATTGAAAAAACACCCCGCACATAAGCACATAGTGATGCAGACATTCCGCAGGGGAGCGGAGACGACATCCTATTCTTTTACTCCAGATTTATTCGTTTGACCTCATTTGGGATGCGAATCATATTTATCATTATTTCTTTTTAATTAGCTGGTCCACACTAGTAGCAAATGTAGCTATTTTCAGAACCCAGGGCAACATTTTAATTACTGGTATTACATTTACAATGTTTCGAGCTTTCTTACAAAAAGGTAAGGTGGTAAGTTGATCATATATTGTGTATCGTATAACACATAGTATATATTTACAAAATATTCCACCTGTCCCATAGATAAATGTGACATCCGTGTATTGTAATGAAAAAACTGCAGTCTGCACAAAATAAGAGGAGGGAGAATGAAACTCTTCTTCAATCTGAGCTTTTTAAAACGGGTATACCTCAAAATCAGAAACTGGCTCAGTGTTTCATACCTAACATGTCCAACTGTTTTGCAAACATACATAGTTGCACATTCTTTTATACATTTATCATTTAATTTAAATATACAAACAATACTTAGATATTTGTGTAAATCTGCAGATCTGTTAGGACTCTTCAATCTTAAGGTTTACCGTTTGTTGTTTCCATCTTGAGCATTTTTGCAGTCCCATAAAATCTATTACATTTTTGCCAAAAAAACAGGGTTATTTTTCTTTCATGCATCTTCGATTGCACTTTACCAAGCCTTTAGCGTCATGCAGTGTGCCTCCGATTAAATATTTTAAATCTCTTGAGAAAGCTGCTTCAAAAGCTATGAGCTTGATTTTCCAGTATTGCATAGTAAAATGTTTTTTTTTTTTTTTACCTGTTGAAACCCAATGTTTTGTTCTCTGGAAATGTGAGGTAAATATAATTTGTATTCTTCTCAGACAGCTGCAATGTAACATTCAGAAAGAAGGCTTTAGTGCCAGTCCAGACTAAAAAGTATTCCTAAGACCTCTGTCAGACTCCCACTGAGGCTATTTTTCTGACCTACAAATACTTTCAAATGCGTGCACACTCTCACTCACACATGCCCCGACTTGTCAGCTCCCCAGTCATGTATCCTGGTCAAGGTGAAGAGTTTGACTGGGGGGTGGGGGGGCAGGTGAAGCTCCAGAAATGCAGACACATGGAGATGAGAGCAGGGAACAGGGGATACAGCTAGCATGTCCTGCCGGCAGCCGCCGCCTTTGTTGTCAGTCTCAAGCTGACAGACCAGATTCAGTGGGATTCTGTCGAGTTACTGCTTTGATGAAATGTTTTCAGGAAATGGGGAAGAGAACCTGAGCTGACTTCAAGTCCTGGTTTTAAAGAGTTGGAAGAGCGTTTTGGTGTAGGTTTTTCCCTGCTTTGTTTACGCTCAGCAAAGTAAGAGCAGATTTTTTTTATACTGCAGGGTAAATTAGCACAAGTTACACATAACACATAGTCTATACGTATTTACAAAAGCAAAATATAATTTTGGGAAAATTACAGCTTCTCGGTTCCTCCCGTCTTTATTGTGAGGCTGTGTGTGGTAGTGTTTACAGAGAAGCCACCAGGCACCAGTAAACCCAGACAAAGAGAGTCACTCAGGTAGATCATTAGTGGTTTTAACAACATGAAAGCTCATAAGTTATGTTCTTATCTTTGCAGCCACGAACCGCATGCTTTTTTTTGTTTTTTTGTTGCCTTTAGCGACATCAAGGGTGGAGAGCTTCCTGTCTCTGCTTTCCGCTTTCAATGGCACTTTTTTCATGAGCAGATTCAGCTGCCCATGTAGAAAGATGTTGCCCTCTTGTTTTGACCTTTGATAAAATCATCAGCATCCACTTTCCACCACTGAAAAAGGAAAAATGGTCATGTGATCAGAATTTGCTCTTTCTGCTGCCTGAAAATAGAGTCATATTAGCTGAGCGGAGTAGAGGAGGTTTTAAAGCAGATTGGATAAATGGCCTTTTGGCTTGTCAGGTTACTGTCTAATAGACAAATGTGGCATTTGTGCAGAGTAACATGATAAAATTACATAGACTGTAAGACTAGATTTTGCTGTGCAGATTTACTAAGGTCTGCAACATTTCATTCTTATTATCTTTGTATTTGGGGTATTTTGGTGCTTTATGTTAAAGAATAAAACAAGGTGGTTTCAAGGTAGACTCTGATTTTGTAAAGCTAAAGTTCGAAATTTACTAAACCTTTTTATTTCTCAAGGTAACTGCCTTGAAATCAGCATTTTCAACTAGCTATAGAGTCGACATGACTAACATTGATGAGAAAATAGCCTACTGCAGGATTATTCAAGCCGTTAGGTCATTATTTTTAATAATAATAATAATAATAATAATAATAATAATAATAATAAACACTGTTGGATGACACAGTTTGTTTAGTTTGTATCGGTTTCCTAAACCGAACAACATCTGTGTTAATACGCGAATATCGGCGTCATAACGCTGAGGCTGCCGAGTGTATCAGTCCGCCTGATTGTCACGTCTACTAGTTAGTCCAGAGCTTATTTAACTCTGTTTTAATGAAATAAACAGTGTCACACCAAAACAAGAGGCTAAATATCAGAGTTCTTTCACGCCTGTAAGATATTTTTGAGAAACAGCTGTATTTAAGCATCGGAAGCAATATAAAAAGGGCCCTAGTTTTGCTAACCATTAGCCTAGCCAGGAGGAAGACGAGTTGAGCCACGCTCGTCTGACCAGCAGGGGGCAGTGAAGAAACCTTACGTCGCTGACGTCATAGAAATGGCGGATATGGATTAAACACGAGGGTTTTTCAGAGTATTTTAACCACTCCAACTGTACGAGGTGTTTCTTCAGGCTCGAATTTACGAACATATAAGAGTGAAATGGGTGACCTGTCGTCGCTGGGTTTGTCAGGCTGGTTGGTTCAACAGTGTAAACATCTGGGAATCAACAAACCCACTCCTGTCCAGGTAAACTGCATCCCAGCCATCCTCGAAGGTAAACCTGCATAAAAATATTATATTTTGAATTACCTGTAAGGAAAAGTTTTATTTTTGTTTAGATAAAATCCTGGATAGTCACAGAACGTGATCTGTAAATGGTGGCTTGTGTTAAACGTGACAATGATTTTGGTTTAATGTCATTTAAACGACAGGATAGTTGCCTTTCCAAATTAATAGTTATTAAAACTTTGTTGAGAGTTTTCAATTGAACGTTTTGGTCTTTAACATTATGAGGAAATGCAAGAAAGCTCATTGACTGATTTAGATGTTTTTATTTATTTTTTTGTTTCCTTGCAGCAAATCATGCTTTTTTATAAAACTTATAGTGAATTTAAGAGTTTGGGCATTCTTGTGTCAGACTGTTTCAATTATTATTTTCTTCTTTGTCTCATTGTTTCTTGTGCACAGTTGTTTTAAATATAAAAACTAAACTACAAAATAAAACATCGGTTTGCAGTTAAATATTAAAGCCATAAGCGCATGCTTGCCTTTATTTTTAAGGACGTCAGTTTTCAGATAACCAAACGATTTTCTTTCATAGCTCTGGTGCTCATCGGTGCATTTGTATTTGCAAATAAGATCCCGGTGCAGATGATCGAGGTGTTTTGCTTCACACAGGTCAGGACTGCATGGGCTGTGCCAAGACTGGCAGTGGGAAGACGGCAGCGTTCGTGCTGCCTGTGCTGCAGAAACTCTCCGAGGAGCCGTACGGCATCTTCTGCCTGGTTCTGACTCCCACCAGGTCAGTGGACACAGATGCATGCGACAGAATGAGCCTATTATTATTATAAAAGTTACAGCAGAGACGTAGGGTTTTACTGATTTAAAAATATCAATTTAAACATTAGTTTAAATGGATAGTTTCATTTTTCAAACAGTTAATTTTATGTTAACTGTACGAGGAATTATTTTTATTTAAAAAGTGCATCGTTTCCCACCTTTTCCTAAATGTTGTCCCTGTAATGTGTCGCAGAGAGCTGGCCTATCAGATTGCAGAGCAGTTCAGAGTTCTGGGGAAGCCTTTGGGTCTGAAAGAGTGCATTATCGTCGGCGGGATGGGTAAGTTCTCAAACACACGGTTAAAGAAGCCATCTTTCCTCTCTCTGCACTTGCTCATGTGCAAACATTTTACACAGGAAATCTCACGAAAACAAATGGCGTAGTATTGTTTGAATTTTATCACACATATCCACATCTTTGCTTGTTAAACCTTCTGGTTATGGTGACCTGTGCACAGACATGGTGACCCAGGCTCTGGAGCTCTCCAGCCAGCCTCATGTTGTCGTAGCAACGCCGGGCCGACTGTCCGATCACATCCGCAGCTCCGACACCTTCAGCATGGCAAGGATCAAGTTTCTGGTGAGATCTAAGAAAGAAAACAAACAACTAACAACGTTAATCTGCTGATTAATCTGATGACCTTTTTTAGATTATGAATGCAAAATGTTATTATCTTTGTCAATCAAAGTTCCAGTTTCCTGTTTTTGGGTCAGATTTTAGATGAAGCAGACAGACTGTTGGAGCAGGGCTGTACCGACTTCACCAAAGACCTGGAGGTGATCATGGGCGTCTTACCGGCCAAACGGCAGACGCTGCTGTTCAGCGCCACGCTTACAGACACCCTGCAGGAACTGAAGAACATCGCCATGAACAAGCCGTTCTTCTGGGAGAGCACGTCAGAGTGAGTTTTAAACGTTAGTAAAGACGATAAAATCCCCTGTTTCTGCACGCAGTTTGATTATTTTGCTTAAATTTAATCTGATTACCTGTGAGGAAGAAAACGGCATAAGGAGCAATTTAGATGCTTTTTTTAATTATAGGAGCACGATGCATATTTATGATGTAATGAGAATTTAAAGACATGAGTGGACTCGGTGACCGCAGACGTTTAGTGAAACATTTTTACACAAACTTCTTAATTCTGGCAGAACGCGAACAGTGGAGGAGCTGGATCAGAGATACATCCTCACACCAGAGAAGGTGAAGGATGCTTACCTGGTCCACCTGATCCAGACGTTTACAGATGAGCATGACGACTGGTCCATCATCATCTTTACCAACACGTGCAAGTAAGGAACTCGTGACGGACTCAGACTCCACGCACACCTGCAGGATCTTGAGTTAGTCAAATTGAAGTTGTGCAACTTCTTTAGGAGTTAGGGGGTTTTTTTCTGGACAATTTAGCATTGTGCATTTATTCTAAATAATTTTCCAATTTTTTGTAAGGAACTGTAAGATTCTCACCATGATGATGCAGAAATTTAACTTTCCAACAATCTCCCTTCACTCCATGATGAAACAGGTGAGACTTACTTGAACAAGTGAAGCTTCAAAACATTTTTTTTTTACAGTCCTGATGAATGTTTTCTGTTAACCGTGACACCAGCCATCAGATAACCTGCATCTAAATCTGCTTTGCTGCTGAAATATGATTCAGATCATCTAAAAACAGTTTGAATAAAGGAAGAAATACTGCCTCATGAAAATGCTGAAATCATAACGTGTTGTCGTTAAAAAACAAATAAGATACGTTTTTTTTTTGCTTTTATCTAGAGAGAACGATTTGCAAACCTTGCCAAGTTTAAGGCCAGCGTCTTTAAAATCTTGATTGCAACGGATGTCGCTTCCAGGTAAGAAATCCTGAGGAACTCTCGTGTTTTGTGCAAGTATAGATTTTTAGAATAAGAATGTTCTTGCAGATGTAGAACATTGTGATACTTTTCTAATCTTTTTTTTTCTCCCTTCCAACATCTTGTAGAGGTTTGGACATTCCAACTGTCCAGGTGGTCATTAATCATAACACCCCAGGGCTTCCAAAGATTTACATCCACAGAGTTGGACGGACAGCAAGAGCAGGTACCGTCCACCTTCAGCTAGGCCTGTCGCGATAAACAATCAATCAATTAATCGCATGATAAATGA